ACTGCAAGGCAGCAGCAACGCTGGGGAGGGGCGCCCACCATTGCTGAGGCTTAAGCAGGTAAAGCCACAGGGAAGCTCGAATTGGGTGGACCCACCGCAGCTCAAGGAGGCCTTGCCTGCCTCTGTAGACTCCCACCTCTGGGGGACAGGGCATATGCTAAACAAAAACACAGCAGAAACCTCTTGTAGACTGTAAAAGTCCCTTCTGACAGCTTTGGAAGAGAGGCAGTGGTTTCTCCTCAAGCATGGAGGTTGAGAATCTGAGCAAAAAAAAAGAAAAAGAAAAAAGAAAAAGAAATAAAAATGAGTGCCAAGGGAAGCATGGTCCCTCTGTAAGCATCAGAGGAGGCTGATTTAGAAAGCGTCCTCTTGTTATTGCTTATAGACTTGCATATTACTTGTTTCTCCAGTAGTATCTTTGGCCTAAAGATTTCTTTACTCCTTTTCTTGGATTGAACATTCATGCTTGGCAAAGAACAAGTTAGTTTAGTGATTTAAAGAGTTTTTACTTTATTTTTTCTTGCCAGTATAAAGACTCACCTATAACACTAAGCTCTGCGTTGGAAAAGATAACTCCATGTTTATTCTCTGCCAAACACTGATACATGCCAGCATCTGAGAGGTTCACTATTGTTATGTTGAGTGTTCCTTGCTCAATTTGAATTCTATCCTGTGAAAGAAAAGAGGAACATAAAAACAATGACCTTCTACAACTGAGACTTTAAGGCAATTTTACCATGTGTAATATCAAGGAAGCTTAATGGGAAGAAAATAGCCATCATATAAGCAATTTACATAACATGATCTATTTATCTGTCAACTAAATTTTCTGGCAGGTCAGATGCTAAGTGGAACAACCAGTACATCAGTTGGTAAATGGAATTTAAATTGTAGATTCTCTTGAGTTCTCAATGATTTAATAGTGGAGCCATTCAGATTAATATCCTCTCTAAACAGAACTTGAAATTTAAAATGCTTTTTAACTTTAAGGATTTGTACTAACCAGAGTTAGGGGGTTTTGGAAATACAACCAAATTTACTGTTTAGAGGGTTTAAGACACTCACATTTTGAGCAGGTGATACTTTGAAGGTTAATAGGATTACAATTTTGGATGAAACAGAGGCAACTATTTAATATAGGTTGAGGTTTACTGAAAAATGCAGGTATTAATAGTTTAATATTCCCTTAGTTTATGGTTGTCAGTGGTGTGATTTAAGCTGAAGTCCATCTGGCGGCCAATCTCAAGGAGGCAAAGTTAGTACGTGGCACAGGAGATCTTCCCCATTTGTCACTCTGAGGATATACAACTTATGTATCAATTTTCATAAGTATCAAAAAGGATCTCTTCCTCTCCAGGAGCTATGCCATTCTCTCTCTCTCTCTCTGTGTGTATATATATATATACACACACACACACACACATATAAAGAGGTACTAGTTTTCTGTTTGCTGCAGGGTTGTGAGTTAGCTGACTGGACACTTTATTAGACTGTGATTAAATCTAGACATCTATATTCCATCACATTAAGAAACCAGCCCAATTGTCCCACAGAAATGATAATTACCCATTTTTGAATAAATACAGAAATTGACCTCCCTAGTTTTAAAACTTGAAACTTACATTGGTCTCATCTGAGTTAACTCCTCAGGAGGTTGATCCTCAAGCAAGGGACTCAAACTCACTAGATCATGGCAACCAGAGAGTGAGACACAAGACCCTTCATCTGTCGTGATTGCCTCTGTACCCCCACCTAATTCCTTCCTGTACACAGCTGCATCCCTTCCCCAGCTACATAAACTCCCAATTTTAGTTGGTTGGAGAGATGGATTTGAGACTGCTCTCCCATTCTCTTTGACTAAAGCACCTGACAAAGCCTTATTTCCTGGCAATACTCACTGTCTCAGTGATTGGCTCTCTGCACAGCAAGCAACAGGACCTAGACTAACCCCCTGGCATTTTGGTAACAATTACACAAAGGGAGGAAAATACCAGTACCTAGGTACATATACTCTTGCAATTTGTTTGAGTCTGGCTTTTATAATAGACAGAATCATGGACAAGCTGGAGCCCTTTCAGCAAATGGAGAAGATGCATGAGGCAGGGGGTGGGTTAGACAAAACAGCCCCCTTTCTCTTCCTGTCATGTAAATTCACGTGGGGGCCATTGCTCTGAGCAGGCACTCTTTCCTGGGTGGCCTACTAGAAGACTGCCTCTCAATTTGGAGCCTGAGGAAAATGTCAAATTTCAATTAACATTTGAGGTTCAGTAGGAAAATACATAAGGAAAATTAACCAGACACAATTATTCCTCATTCTCAGGGTCCCCCACTCTGCCCCTGCTTCATTCAGATTTCTTTGTCAGAGTGTTTCTCTATTTAGATGGACATCCTGCATTGTGACAATGCCCCTTCTCTTGTAGTGGATCCTGGAATGTATCTTCCTTTGTATCTTAGCACAATTGCATGTTCCAGACCTTTTGCATAACTTTCCCATTATAATCTCACAGATGCTAATCTTTGAAGACCAAAGATCTAGTACAAGAGCTTAATTGAAAGCTGGAGAATTGGATTTAAGTGCACTTTCTATTTATCAATTGCATTCACTCTCACTTTTTCCACTATAATGGTGTTTCATTGTTTATTATTTTAGAAACGATTCACCGTTCTCACGTTTCCACGGCAATGAGGCTATATTAAACATTATAGTCAAGACTAAGACACAATTACCATTAATTTGCTTACCTGAGTTAGCAGAGGTTCACCATTTTTTAGCCACCTGTATGTAGGCTTAGGCCTTCCATTTGCTTTACATTCCCAAAAGACATTTTCTTCCATGGCCACGTGAATATCATTTATTTTTTGAATCCAATTAGGTTGAGCTATAGCCGTTCAAAAAGCAAAGAGAAGGTGTATATTCAGTGTATACTCAATCTATTTTTATCATATGCAATCAAAGGGCAAACTACACTTATAATAAAATTCCTTTTCCAGATGTTATGCAAATAACAAGACTGGGTAGACATTCAGGGAGATGCCTATACACTACTCTGAATACCGTTTTTGTGGTTCATATTGTAGTCTTTTAATTCCTAAATGCAAAATGGATAAAACTACCAATAGCATAAGGTAAAATTAACTGTCCCTCTCCTGTAAGGATCTATTATTCCTTTTTTCCTGTCAGTAGAGATTATCTTCCCATTACCTGTTCCCACTTTTAACCGGGCTGGTGTATTCCCAGGCATGCACTACATTTGCAGATGGCTTTGCAGCTAGAGGTAACCATGTAACCAAGTTCATGCCAACTGTATGTGTGTGAAAGTGGTGAGAGCAACTTCTGGGTTACTCACTTAAAGATACTTTCCCTAACCTCTTTTTGCCCCTTCACACTGATTGGAAAAGACTGACAATTGAAATAGCCTTGGGTGCAGACATGGAAGCTACATAGGATGAAAATGCTGATCTGTCAGCCTTGGACCATGAATGACCCTGTGGAGCAAAGCAGCTCCACACTCACCTGCCATTTTTGAGGAAAATAATGTGAGAGAGAAATAAACTTCTTATCTAAGCTACTTTATTTTGGGGTCTCCTTTGTGAGAATAGCTTAGCTTGTCCCTCACTAATATACTTCACTCCCACATGTTGTATAGATACTTTCTCCTTTAAGACTATCATCATTGTTTATTATTGATTTCATATTGATAGAATGTTATCTACAGGAATATGACTCTAGAACCCGAAATCTTTAAATGAATCCTGATTTTTATTAAATCTCCTCAGGAAATCAAGTCCTGCCCACAGTCTAACACAGGAATTCAAAGCAGCACTTACTTCCCACATTGCCCAATGCAATCCATTACCCCTCCCCACCCAAATGATACCATATTTTCTGTACTTCATTGAAGTCACATTTTCTTTCCTTATTTTCAATAGATATAAAGACAATGTTAACTCCATGTTCCATAAAAAGTCTTCATAAATATCAAATCTTGCCTCAAGCACAATTCACGCCATTAAGAATAATGATAAACATATTCAGGTAGAAGACCTTCAGCCCAAAGTCATGCAGAAGATAACCATAGCTGTCATTCTGGAATTTTATGTGTTCACAGGGCATTTCTACAGGGTAATGCCTACCAAAGTAAACCTAATAATCAAAGTTGATATCAGTATTTAATTAGGAGATGCTACTCATTATTCTTAACATCACTTCCAGCTGACTTGACCTCAGTATCTTCATTCAATGTTTCAAATCATACATAATTTATTTCAAAAGGAAACTGCTACTGTTGAGGCCAAGCTGTATATTTTACCTTTTCAATAATAAACAAAACTAGAAAAACACTCAACAAGTCACTTAACCAGCAGAGGTCTCTAGGCCCTTGAATAAATGCTGCTTTTTTCTTTTCTCACCTATAAGCAATTTTATGTTTTTCAATGAGCAAAACACAGTTTTACACATCCTCTACTGATGGGATGATGCACTGCTGCATATGAGGGGAGGCCAAAAGGGTCAACTTCAAAAAATTTTAGAACATCAACAAGCATTAACTTGAATGAAGGGTTATAACCTACACCCTTAAAAGAGCTGCAAGTCTTCGCTGTTCTTTATCTTCCTGCTACTAATGCAAAGGAAGCTAAAAAGGTTCTCTGCTTGGAGAATTTGATGTGTAACCCTGATAGGGCTAATGCAGTTGTATGCCTGATTTCACATTCAACCTGCTGAATATTTACCCCCTACAGAGTCCATGAAAACAAAGCAAACAAGAAAAGCCATAGAAATCTGTGAGGAATATTAACAACGAAGCCAAACTTTTGAAAGAGAGTGAGGAAAAAAATGGAAGGGCAAATGTAACTTATGAAGCAATGTCAAGTTGAAGTTCAAAAAGGAAACATCAAAACCACATGCAGAGACAGAGATTTCAATGTCATAGATTTCCTGTAACACTGGGCTTACTTACTGCTTTCTTTCAAAAATGCAGAAAGCTGGAAGCAAAACCTTGCAATCTCAAGAAGTAGGTGAGGCAGAGAAGGGAGAGACTGGAGAGAATTTTGAAAAGACCTTGCAAAGTTCTACCTACTTAAGCACTTCTGAGGGCTCATTCTGTCTCTTCCCACAGGGTTATGGAGGTCAAGGAATCAGACGAGAATACTCAGTGGTAGTTATTTGTGCTGGCCAAGGTGAACTCAACAAAAAAATTCAGTGTCTGTGAGAGATCACTTGGCACTTTCTTTATTTTTAAAGTAAAATTAATTCATAGAAGACAAATTTGAACTGATATAAACATATTCCTGTCAAAGTGAGTATCTGAACATGGGCCCATGAAGATCAGAAATGAAATATCATATTATATATGTGACAAAGAGAGATAGTCTTTATCTTAACACGCCAATTGCAAATCTACAGGGCAAAAGCCCATGTAGTAAAAGTTTTCACTCCTGCTCACTTAGATTGGATGAATTATATTTAAATGTGTGAGTTTTTCATACTAGAATAACTAAAGTCATGTGCTTGATGATAATGACTCATATATCTCCATATTTGCAGGGAGAGGGTTACCTAGTTCAAAGTCCTTAGATAACAAAAATCCCAGTTAAGCATATTATAAGATATATCATTAGCTCCTCCCCCTTTTGTGATAATGCATTGGGTACAGGGTATTTATTGCTTAATATCAAGGTTCAGCTACATTTTACAACTCCTTGTCTAAACACAGGTTGAACATCCCTAATCTGAAGACCTAAAATCTGAAATGCTCTATAATTCAAAACTTTTTGAGCGCCACCATGATGCCGCAAGTGGAGAATTTCACACTTGATCTCATAAGACTGGTCATAGCAAATACAGTGAAAACTTTGTTTCATACATTAAATTATGCAAAATATTAAAATGTTGCATAAATTACCTTCAGGCGATGTGTTTAAAGTATATATAAAACATAAATAAACTTCATGTTTAGGCTTAGGTCGAAATATTCCAAAATCCTAAAAAATCTAAAATCTGAAACACTTCTGGTCCCAAGCATTTCAGGTAAGGGATACTCAACCTGTGTCAACTCAGAGGAAGACCTGAACAGGTTAGTTCAGTACTATTATTTCAGAAGCCATTTCTAAATGTCTTTTTCTTTGTAATATATGCAGACCCCACATATTAAGCAGAATTAAACACATTCACATATTGAAAGAGAACTATCTGTTTTGAACTTCCATATTCTTTCAAGATTTGAAACAAAAGAATTCTTCTAGGACTCCTTAAGTATTGTTCTCAAACTACAAATTCAAATATAAGGTTAAATGGTTGTGCTGGGATTTGACCCTGTGACACAGTTTGTCTCCTGGATAGATAAACAATCTCTTCATTTCAATCTTTTATTCAATAACTGCCAGAAATGACCTAAATCAGCGTTTGTGCATTCCAGCCACTGGAATTGTAGAAGCATCTTATCCAATAATAATTTACATTGCAGGCAGATATAATTTAAACTCAGTGGGTCAAACAATTCTCAGGAGCATTTGGCTCTTCGATTTTCTAAAAACAGAAATTTCTAACTGAAAGAAATGCCAACATATGCCTTAGACTTTAGAAATTTAAAAATCTAAAAGAAAGGATACGATGGCAAAAAAACAAACAAACAAAAAACCCCTCTAAATTACTATTACAAAGATGACCTGTAGACAGTCACAGTTATTTCTGGTTGCTCACACAATTTTGGAGAAGATGAATCATCTCCAGGAAATGCAGGAGTTTCACTGACATTGCTTAAGAATTTTAATGATAGTAGACTTTATGAGTTTGGAGATAATTACTTGGCTTTAGTTTACCACCTACCTACATAATGCTTCCCAAATCTTTCTCTCTAGCCTGGGATTCTTACGCAATTGACAGAATCATCAAGAAATTCTCACTTTACTTCAAATTCAGGGTTCCTACTACTGGCATGAGAAATAGTCATTTTACAATGCTACTTAAGAGAGTCTTCCAGTTTATTATTACAGTCTTTTTACAAACCCCTGACTTCCAGTTAGCAGAAGTCACTGAAAAGAAGGACCAGCTCTACAAGAAATATGCATGTTGGATTTTAGGGCAAGGTCCATCTTTGATGTTTGTTCAGCACTGACAATCTGCACTTCTCTGGCTTCAGACTCTCATTCACTCCCCACACACCAATCAGTCTCTTCACAGGGGTCTTCAAACTCAATTCCATGAAGCTCTGAGGGTTCTTGGAAGGTACTCCCTTCTACATTCACTCAAATTCTCAATATTTAATTCAGAGCAAGGCTTCTTCCTTGCTGCAGCCTTGCTATGTATTAAATATCGAGAATTTCTTGTAAAATTTCATGTTAAAAAAAGTACCTTGAGAATTAAACATACAGATACTTTTTTGATACTTGCTGGTATCTTGTATCGTAAGAACAGCTTTAGAAATGCAGTCTGGAGATTGGAAGCTTGTTTTCTCCTTGAATTCATATTAGTTTGAACCTAATGATGTCTAACACTCCTTTTTATTTTATTTTTATTTATTTATTTTTTTGACACGGAGTCTCACTCTGTCACCCAGGCTGGAGTGCAGTGGCGTAATCTCGGCTCACTGCAAGCTCCGCCTCCCGGGTTCACACCATTCTTCTGCCTCAGCCTCCCAAGCAGCTGAGACTACAGGTGCCCGCCACCACACCTGGCTAATTTTTTGCGTTTTTAGTAGAGATGGGGTTTCATCACGTTAGCCAGGATGGTTTCCATCTCCTGACCTCGTGATCCACCTGCCTTGGACTCCCAAAGTGCTGGATTATAGGCGTGAGCCACTATGCACGGCCTCTCCTTTTGATTTTAATAAGTGAAACCTTTAGCCTTTAGATTGTCTCTTAAACCAACAGGATTCACAGT